TTCTGCAAGACCATTTTTTTTCTGTTTATCTTAAGTTAATGATAACAAATCCCTATTGTGAGATTATCTTACTAAGATAGGTACTGGCTTAAAAACAAAAAGTAAGGACTGAAAGATTAAAGCCCTGAAAAGGAATGCTTGAAGAGCATTAACTTTACCAGATTCCTCAGGTTGGCAGCTATTCCCCTTTGCAAAAAGTGTTAGAAATTGATCTCTTTACTTGGAAGGAAGGATTTTACAGAGGGCTTCCAGAAACACATCTGATTTCCAGTTGCAATATCAGAATATTCTAGTTATATTGATAATCTCCAGAGAAACAAAGTCTATGAGTACTCTAGTCAAAGCAAAAGATTATCTGATTGTAGAATTTCTAAGGTATTATTTCTAAGGTATTCTAGCTTTTTTCCTGAAGTAACAACTGTGTTTGGCTATATGTGTTGACAATAATAGTCTGTGTAGAAAAGGGAGAGAAAAATAAAACAATGTATCCCATTTTGTTATTTCCAAGAGGAAAATGAGTCTCTAATGAGATGTCCCCAAACAGTGCTGCCGTTCATCAAAGCACATGCCCCAGATCTGAGTGAGTTTAATTATCGTGGGGACAGTGAAACGAGGACATTTAAGTCAACTTAAAGTGGAAAAATTCAGAAGATTAAGAAGCAGCTTATCTCAGGCTGCATAGAATTAATATTAATATTTGACATCTCTTTTCTCTTAGAAGGAATCATCTTTGGAAGGGGGCAACAAAGTTAATCCCAAACATGTTTTTGATTAGCCAGTACATCAGAATCAGCCCATCATTTTGGAGAAAGAGATCAGTTCTCTGCATAGATAAGCCTTCCAATGTTAAGAGACAAGCTCTATGTGGTATCTAGATTGCTGCAGAATAATTTGAGCCTCACGCAGGACTTTTGATCAGAAGAGAAATTTTGATCAGGAGGGAAGTTGTTTTATTAGGGGTATTATCTGAACTTTGCTAGAGCTATTTACTCCTTTACCAGAAAAATAAGTTAAAACCTGAGGATAGAAAATCATATGTTTCATGAAAAAAATTCCTTTTTATGAGTCTCCAATTGTTTGGTTGGTGATTTTTGGTTATGTATTTATTTATTATTAATTATATGATTCTTTCAATAGCTTTTGGTGGTACAAGTGGTTTTTGGTTATGTGGATGAATGGTATAGTGGTGGAGTCTGAAATGTTAGTGCACTTGTCAACTGAGTAATGTACATTGTATCCAATATGTAATTTTTTTTATCCCTCAGCCACATCCCACCCTCCCCTGGTTCGTTATTATACTATGTATGTTTTTGCATCCTCATAGCTTAGCTCCCACCTATAAGCGAGAACATGTAATATTTGATTTTTTCATTCCTAAGTTACTTCACCTAGAATACTTACCTCCATTTCCATCCAAGTTGCTGCAGAGGACATTATTTTGTTCTTTTCTGTGGCTGAGTGGTAGTCCATGGTGTATATAGACCACATTTTCTTTATCTACTCATCAGTTGATGGGCACTTAGGTTTATTCCGTATCTTTGCAATTGTGAATTGTGCTGCAATAAACATACACATGCAGGTATTGTTTTCGTATAATGACTGTTTTTCCTTTGAGTAGATACCCAGTAATGCGATTGGTGGATCGAATGGTAGATCTACTTTTAATTTCTTTGAGAAATCGCCATACTGCAAAGGTTGTACTAATTTATATTCCCACCAGCAATGTATAAGTGTTCCCTTTTCACCACATCCACACACAACATCTATTGTTTTTTGACTTTTTAATAACAGCCATTCTGGCTAGAATAAGGTGGTATTTCACTGTGGTTTTAATTTGTATCTCCCTGATGATTCGTGATATAGAGCATTTTAAAAAATATATTTGTTGGCCATTATATATCTTTTTTTTTTTTTTAGAAATATCTATTCATGTCATTTGCCCACATTTTAATGGGATTATTTGCTTTTGTCTTGCTGATTGAGTAGCTTATAGATTCTAGATATTAGTCCTTTGTCAGATGCATAGTTTGTAAATATTTTCTCCCATTCTGTGGGTTGTCTGTTTACTCTCATGATCTCTTTTTATTTTTGTTGTTGCGAACAAGCTTTTTAGTTTAATTAGGTCACATTTATTTTTGTTTTTATTGCATTTGCTTTTGGGGTCTAAGTCATAAATTCTTTGCTTAGGCCAATGTCCAGAAGAGTTTTTGTTTGTTTGTTTGTTTTTAAGAAAGAGTCTTTCTCTGTCACCCAGGCTGGAGTTCACTGGCGCAATCTCAGCTCACTGCAACCTCCACCACCTGGGTTCAAGTGATTCTCTTGCCTCAGCCTCCTGAGTAGCTGGAACTACAGGCAGATGCCACCACACCCACCTAATTTTTGTATCTTTAGTACAGATGGGGTTTCACTATGTTGGTCAGGCTGGTCTCAAACTCCAGACCTCGTGATCTGCCTGCTTCGGCCTCCCGAAGTGCTGGGATTACACGCGTGAGCCACCATGCCCAGCCCAGAAGAGTTTTTACTAGGTTTTCTTCTAGAGATTTTGTGGTTCAGGTCTTAGAGTTAAGTCTTTAATCCATCTTGAGTTGATTTTTATGTGTGGTGAGAGATAAGGGATGCAGTTTCATTGTTCTACATATAGCTATTCAGTTTTTCCAGCACCATTTATTGAATAGGATTTCCTTTCCCCAATTTATGTTTTTGTATGCTCTGTTGAAGATCAGTTGGTTGTATTTGGTTTTATTTCTGGGTTCTTTATTCTGTTGCGTTGCAATGTCTATATATCTATATTTATACAGGTACCATGTGGTTTTAGTAACTATAGCCTTGTAGTATAATTTGAAGTCGGGTAATGTGATGCCTTCAGATTTGTTCTTTTTGCTTAGGATTGCTTTGGCTATTTGGGCTCTTTTTTGGTTCCATGTGAGTTTTAAGATTGTTTTTTCTAATTCTGTGAAAAATGATGTTGGTATTTTGATAGGAATTGCATTTAATCTGTCGATTGCTTTGGGCAGTATGGGCATTTTCACAATATTGATTCTCCTAATCCATGAGCATGGGATGTATTTTTATTTGTTCATGTCATCTACAGTTCCTTTCAGCAGTGTTTTGTAAGTTTCCTTAGAGATATTTTGAGTTATTTTTTTTCTCTTTCTTTTTTCTCTTACTGTCCTTGAGTTCTTGATTTGATTGTCAGCTTAGTCATTGTTGCTGTAGCAGTGCTACTGATTTGTGTACATTGATTTTGTATCCTGAGACTTTACTGAATTTATCAAATCTAGGGGTCTTATGGAGGAGTCTTCAGGGTTTCTAGGTATTTGATTGTATAATTGGCAAACAGAGATAGTTTGACTTCCTCTTTTTTATTTTGGATACTCTTAATTTCTTTCTCTTTCCTGATTGCTCTGGCTAGGACTTCCAGTTTTGGTCTTTTAAACAAACCTTAAAAGATGGCTAAACTAAGAGATGGGGAGTATATTCATCTATGACTTTTCCTCTGCTGCTCTGTCTCTTATGCCATATACTAATTTATTAGCCAATAAATATCTAAGAACCTGGCTGCTCAGTGTTCAGTAAATAATAGCCTAGTTGAAATACCTTGTTGGAATATGGGACCTTTATCTCAAAGCCGAATGTCTCATTTTTCTCACCATGCTTAGTTGTCATGTCTTTATGAGTGTATTAGGGGATATTTTACTATTTCCGTTTCTGTTTGTGTTATATGTTGATGTGTATTATGTCAGTTAAGCCTAATAAAAGATCCTATTAGAGACCCAAGGAAGTACAATTGTCACCATTTGAGATATAAGAAAACAAAGGCTCAAGGTGTGAAATTCCTACCCTGAGGTAAGAGTTCTCTTAAGTGTTGTAGCCTCAGGGAGGGACCTCTCTAGCATGTCAGACTGATTTGTTTGACATCACAGAGCAATGCAGTGTAGTATCAAGTTTCAGTCCCTGTGTATCCTACAGTTATCTCATTTTTCTACCCAAACAGGTTCTTATCCATTGACCAGCATCAAATAGGACATATGCTCAAGAGGGTGAAGGAAATAGAAATGTATAAGATAAATCTTACTGTGCCTAGATACTTTCTATGTAGGCACAGGGAAAGGGGACATAATTTAAAAATATGTATTTACATATGAGTAGAGTACAACATATACTAGAGGCCAAGGCCCTTGTTCTCAAAGCACTTAGATTCTGGGAAGGCAAAAACATTCTCGACTGTCAAGTACAGAGTGACATATCCATTAATTACAGAGTGTGTGTCAACTGAAAATATTTTGAGGTATTGGCTTTCAGTGAATTCTGATAAACTTTATCTCTTATACATCTTTGGCTCAGGAGTAAAGAATTTGTAACATCAAATATGTTAACTAATAATCAGCCAGCTATCAGTAATCATAATGAAAATCATGTGTTGTCATTATGGCATTTTTCTATCTTAGGAAATGCAGCTCTTTCTTCACTACTATTGCCGTATGTTTAAAGGAAAAGAATTACTCTTATGTGACCCAGTTCACACCTTGCCAAATCCTTTTACTCGGTATGTGAGCCAATTACAAAGGGCTTGTTTTTACAAATGTGCTTGCCCATCAGTCCAAAAGTACCGCTGAAATCAGAAATATTTTCTTAAAATATAATCTTCCAAACATGGCATTCTGGTAGCATAACCATATATTGTGATTTTAAAAAATGCTCAACATTTCATAGCCTATGGAAGAATCTCATTTTTCCTCAGGCCTATGGCAGTTCTCAATAATTTTATGAGATGTAGTATTGACTATATCAAGTTGAAGAAAGGTCACAGATCTCCATGTAAGAATTTGTAAGTGATTAGAAAATAAAAAAGAACAATAAATGTAATGAAACATATTATAAGGAAAGTGTTTTCTGTATCAGTTCATTAGTTTTCAAAACCCAGCAGCATGAAATTAATACGATTTCTACCAGCAACTCATCTCTCCAATGTTTTTTCTTTTTTTCCCCTCTTTTCTTAGATTGAAAAAGAAAAAACAAGCCAAACAAAATGCAGAGACAACCTCAGCTATGGCTACAAGGACTCATACTGGGAAGGAAGATTCCAATACAGTAGTTTTAGAGCCAGACAAGTGCAACATTGCTGTGGAAGAGGAATATATGACTGATGAGAAGAAAAAGAGAAAAAGTAATCAGTTAAAGGAGATTAGGCGTACAGAACTAAAGAGATATTATAGTATCGGTGAGTATTCATGGCGTTACTGCAGTATTTTCATTTAAAAAGCCTATAAAAATTTTTAAAAGACTATCATTTGTGATGGATCATAATAATGGTAACAGTTTGTGGAGCAGCTGCTATGTGCCCCTGGCCCTTGCTTTATATACATAATCTTGTGTAAGGGGATCACACTAAAATAATGTCTCATTTAAATTTGTGTTCCCAGCATTTAACACAGTGCCCAGCATGTATTGTGTACTAATAAACGTTTATCTGAAGAAGAGTCACTTTCTCTTTATGAGAAATATTTTTCTCAACGTATGTAGACGTATTCATAAATACGCCGATAGAAATGCCTGTACTTTTTGTCATTTGCTAGACAGTAGAAAATGGTGGAGACATGGCCTAGCATCTGTCAGTTAAAAAAAAAAAAAAACCCTAAGAGTCTTTTTTTTTTTTTTGACAAGGAGTCTTGCTCTGTGCAATGGCATGATCTCGGCTCGCTGCAACCTCTGCCTCCCAGGTTCAAGCAATTCTTCTGCCTCAGCCTCCTGAGTAACTGGGACTGCAGGCGCCCGCCACCACTCCTGGCTAATTTTTTGTATTTTTAGCAGATGGGGTTTCACCATGTTGACCAGGCTGGTCTTGAATTCCTGACCTCAGACACTTGGGAGTCTTAAAGGGAATCTTGAAATGAGTCCACAGTGTTACATAGTTTCTCAGAACAACCCCTGCATCTGAAACTACATTCGCAGAAGTGGCATATCTAGCTTGACATGAATCATCCATCTCATACTTACTGTTATATCACATACACCCATGGATTTTCTTTTAAAGAGAATGCAAATAAATGAAATAAATAAAGGGTACCAGGAATCAGAACTTGGCATGGTATACAGGTTATGGCATAGTTGAGATTGCTAGGAAAGGGAGAGAAAACTGAGAGCAGTATCTGAGAACACACTGCAAATACGGTAAATGAAATATGATTTTGTAGCAGAGCAATGACACTTGTTCTGGGCCACCCTCAAGTTGGTCCTAGTTAATACCAAAGTTACAGGAAGACATACGTTTATGTCTCCATGGTTTTTTAATTTTATTTATTTATTTTATTTATTTACTTATTTATTTTGAGATGGACTCTCACCCTTCGCCCAGGCTGGAGTGCAGTGGCACGATCTCGGCTCACTGCAAGCTCTGCCTCCCGGGTTCACGGCATCCTCCTGCCTCAGCCTCCCCAGTAGCTGGGACTACAGGTGCCCACCACCACGCCCAGCTAATTTTTTGTATATTTAGTAGAGATGGGGTTTCACCATGTTAGCCAGGATGGTCTCGATCTCGACCTCGTGATCTACCCTCCTCGGCCTCCCAAAGTCCTGGGATTACAGACATGAGCCACCACACCTGGCCGTGTCTCCATGTTTAATGTAACCTTCCAACAGTGTTAGAAGACATATGGCATGGCATGCAGGTCATGGCATACTTGAGATTGCTAGGAAAGGAGAGAAAGCAAAGGGCAGTTACTGAGAACACACAGAATACGGTAAATGAAATGTGGCCTTGTAGCAGAGCAATGACACTTGTTCTGGGGTGCCCTAAACTTGGTCCTAGTTAATGCCAAAGTTACAGGAAGACATACTTTGTATCCATGTTTAATGTAACCTTCCAACAGTGTTCAAAGATAAAATGGACTGCCCTTGAGGTAGTAATAAGTGCTGCATTGCTGATGTTGCTACCATACAGGCAGATGCTCTCTCGGCAGCCGAAAGCATGTGGTTTGTAGCTTTACAGTCGGCTAAGATGATTGTATAATGTATTACATGTCTTAATGGATGTTTTTAATCTCAAGCTATTCAGTATTTTATAAAAAGCTGTAACTGTCAACCTGTTGAAAGATACTTCTGTGCTGTTAATAAGCTTCCTCTTAAAATGTAAATATTAAATATTATCCCTTATTTCCAAAAAGAGGAAAAGGATTAAGGAAAATTGCATTTCATATCTTTTGTTTGTTTTGAGATTGGGTCTTGCACTGTCACTCAGGCTGGAGTACAGTGGTAGGATTATAGCTCACTGCAACCTCCGACTTCAGCGCTCAGCAGTCTTCCTGCCTCACCTCCTGAGTAGCCCTGGATTACAGGCACAATGAACCACCACCTAACTATATTATTATATGGTAATATATTTTTTTTTTTTTTGTTTTTAAAGAGAGAGAGATGGGTCCGCCAATAAACTGGTTTCAGCTTCTAGCCCCCAAGCAGTCTTCCTAGCCTCGAAAGTCCTCCCTCCCAGCAATCCTCCTGCCTTGGCCTCCACAACATATATATTAATATATATTCTTTTTTTTTTTAAATACTGAGTCTCACTCTGTCACCCAGGCTGGAGTGCCATGGCACAATCTCAGCTCACTGCAATCTCTGCCTCTGGGGTTCAAGTGATTCTTCTGCCTTAGCCTCGCGAGTAGCTGAGATTACAGGTGCACGCCATAATGCTTGGCTAATTTTCATTGTTTTAGTAGAGTCGGGATTTCACCATATTGGCCAGGCTGTTCTTGAACGCCTGACTTCAAGTGATCCACCCACTTTGGCCTCCTAAAGTGCTGGGATTACAGGCGTGATCCACTGCAGCCGACCCCAAAGTGTATGCTTTTTTTTTTTTTTTTTTAGTGATTTCTCACTGTATTAGGATAGCCTTTTTATGTGGTATACTCTGTCGCGTGTGTAATGCTGAGTCTGAAACAATGCCCTTCATTCTTCACCTGACTGATTCTTTCTTGACTTAACAAAATCAGCTCAATCATCGTTTCTTCCAGAAGCCCTCCTTGTCCCTGTCCAGGTTAGACTGCCTTTCTGCATTGTTATTATGGATGTACTTGATTACCTATGTACAGGCAGGGGTGACTTAGACCCTAGAGTATTAGCTTTGTGTAGTGTCTTCAGCGTGACAGGTGCTCTTTAAGTGTGCATTGAAAGGAATAATTAATACGTACATAAATGAATACTCTATTTTTAATTGTTGGAGTTTCAAGAAAACTCTGGAAGAGCATAGGTAATAATGTAGTCATTGGGTCAGAAGTATCCTGTGATTTTATTTGGTAGCAATAAGTAAAGAAATGTGGCCAGGCTCAGTGGTTCACACTTGTAATTTTACCCAGCACTTTGGGAGGCTGAGGTAGGAGGATCACTGGAGGCCGGGAGTTCAAAGCCAGCTCGGGCAATGTACAAGATCCTGTCTCTACAAAATATACATTAGCCAGGCGTAGTGGCATACGCCTATAGTCCCAGCTACTTGGGATGCTGAGGTGAGAGAATTTCTTGAGTCCAGGAGTTGGAGGGTACACTAATATACTGCACTGCAGGCTGAGTGACAGAGCGAGACACTGTCTCTGAAACAAACAAACAAAAAAGAAATGCCATTAAAGTTTATCATCTCTCAAGAATGACAATGATAGCAACCGGTTTGGAGGTTTGAGGCATTTCCTCAGGAGAACCCAGTGCTTAGATAAAACCTCTAGGTGAAATTCCAGGGTTCCTTGACCCTTTCCAAATCTGACTAGAGTTGACAAACTCTCATCTTGGCAGGTTTGCTGACTCTCCCAGCATCTGACCTGGCGTGTTTCTCAGTCCCATCCCAAGGTGATGTTCTCTACCACTAGATGGAGCATCAGACCTCAAGTCAAGAGCATCTCAGTTCACTGCTGCTTTTGGTGGCTCTAGTCTAGGAGGGAAGGGGAGACTTTGCCATTGCATGCCAGCCTGAGTGACAAGAGTGAAACTCTGTCTAAAAAGAAAAAAAAAGAAAGAAAATGGGAGGATCTCATTGACTTGCTAAGGATTTGGAATTTACCTTGTAGTCAGTGAAGAGCCATTGGAGGAGAATGTCAAGAGAAAAGGAAATTCTCTACTTTTTGTTTGCTCTATATTTAGTTTACCATCAATTCTGTGATTAATCTAACATGAAGACAGGCTGTGCTGGTCTGAGACTAGGGCTTAGGGGAAGGAGCACACTGCAGCAACACACAGCAGCATTTGATGGTCAGTATAGTGTGTGAGGGAGAAATAAAAACAGAGTCAAAAATTGATAGACTAGGAAGCTCAAGAAGGAGGAAAGAAGATAATGAATTTATGTTTGGAGATGTTTTTGAGGTGCCAGGTAGATTTGTCTAGAGGGGCCTAAATTTCAGGTGAAAGGCCTACAAATGGCTACTTACAGGTGTCAGATGAATCCACATGTGTAAAACAAAAATAATCCAGTGAATATACAGAGAGCCAAAATGAAAAGTTAATGGACAACAAATAATAATGAATGTATAGAAAAAAAGACTAGGAGGATATATAACAATATGTTGATAGTTGTTTTCTCTGCTTACAGAAATTGCAAGGCAGTTTTTTTTGTATATTATGTATAGTTATTTTTAATATTAATCAGAAAATAAAGAGTTGAAAATAAAGTAAAAGTAAGAGCTTTGCAAAAATCAAAAGCATTAGACAAATATGAAGTTCTATAAGCAATATATAACAAAATAATTACTTTCTGTAGGTATCTATTCCACATCTGTAACATCATCTGCCTGATCTAAAGAAGTGTATTTTGACAAGATAATGTTTTCACTTCTGAAATTACTTTTATCTGTGCCTCACTTAATCCTTGGGTAATAAGTCATTGCTATCTCCTGACACTTAGGAAAACACAACAGTTGAGATACTAATAAAGGATGCTTCGGAAAGATTGAGTCACTAGAATTGCCTCATAACAACGTGGTGCTGATTCTAAAAATGCTTTGCTTTTGAGAGGGGAGTAGGAGAAAGGAAGTGGAGAGATTATATTGAGGCAGATGGCGTCAGATAAATCTAGATCCAACACCTAGCGCAGCACCTGGCACACAGTAAGCATCAAAAAATCCTTCTAGAATGAGTGAACTGAGCCATTTTGTGCTTTCATTTGTGTTTACTAATATATAAAGTGCTCCTTTTTCATTTATTCTGTTTGTGTAAACTCTTAAGGAATTTTTTGGTGCTAATGTGTCT